AGTTGTATTATTTATTACTCCAACAACTTCATCAAGCATAAATGGATTAGGTGTGTTTGCTTTCTATATATCTTTAACGGGTATAAGAACAAGATCATGTAATTAGCTAAATCTAAATGCTAAGTACTAGAATTATCTGGAACTTGAAATTTTATTTTTAGCATTACAGAATGTAATCCTTTTTTTTGTTTGAAGTGTGTAATTTTTTATTTAATAACTGATAATTAATTCCAGACTGAGAAAATTGCATCACATGGGGGGGGAGAAAAAAAGACTTTAAAAAGGAAAGTGGCATCTTAAGTAATGTACCTAAAAAAAACTTTGGGATGTCTCACGAAACCCTCCTAAGCCTTAGAGTGTCTCATAACCACCACCACCCCCCGCCGCCGAATTTCGACATCATCTCACGTGATCCCCTGACTATAATTTGAAAGAAAAAAAAACTAAAATGTTCTTGAAAGAAAAAATCTCAAACTTTGTCAAGCCGGTTTGGATAGAAAAGAGGGGTATGGGAGGGAGGTAACTGAACTAAACCCAATGGAAGGAAAAAAAGAGGGAAGAATTATGATGTAATTATTTTTGTTTGGATGGACAACTAGGAAATGAAGAGAGGGACAAAGTGATGAAACTAATTTTCATTTGTTTAAAGTAAAAAATTGGAAGAGAAGTGAGCACTTCACTTAAAATCCTCTCTCCTTCCAATCCATCCACTTTAGAAGGGGAAAAAAAGTGAAAAAAGTGTTCTTTTTAATCCTCTCGATCCTTCCCCTAACTTACTAAAAAAACAAACAAATACACTTTTGAAATGGTTAGCATCGTAACCTCCCCAACTCATCCCCTCCCCTCTTAATTAAAAAAAAACTATCCAAACTAAATCGACTCTCCTAAAATTTGAGTTTTTTTCTCTCTCAGGGGAGGGGGAGGTTAGTCACTTAGAACTTAAAATTGGAACTGAGATAATCTGTGGGATAAATTTTTAAGGTGTTAGTCAGATAGAACTAAAATTAGAACAAAATTTTACAGTGTTAGTCAAGTAGAACTCTAACAAAACTAGAATTGGGATAATGGTACTAAATTATCCCACTTTTTTTTATTTTTCTATACAAAAATTAGAGTTCTAGTCTCTCAAATTATTCCAAGTTTTAGCTTGGAAATAGGTGGTAAAAAACTAGAACTCGTATTTATTTTGTTATTTTTTATTTTTTATATTTCTTTTTTTTATTTACTTCTTTCCTATTATGGTTATCATCATCATTAGACCATCATTATAATAATAATTGTTAATATCTTATAGTCTAACCAAAAATTATTTAATAGTAAAGAACATTCTTGCAAGTAATTATCAATCAGTAATAGTAAGTTTAAAATACATAAACGGTATTTATATCTTCAAAATGCATAAATATATATTTCATGATTATAAAAATTAATCCCACGTTATTTTATCAAAATATCCCGCTTCACAAAATTGTTCCTAGTTATCCCACTAAAATATCCCACTAGCAAAATATTATTCCACTTTAACAATTATCCCATTTTGCATGAAAATGTCCCAATTGACTAACACCCCCTTGGGGAACTTTACCTATCTACAAATTTTACTCACGTTTACATGTCTCGTGCGTTGGGGCAATTTTTTCTTCAAAGTGACGGGCAAAGTGGATTATAGACAGAGACATGGGGGCCCATATGGCATCACAAAGCGGCTAGATTTCTCGAGCAAAATCCGGACTCCTTGTCAAGAAGATTCTGATTAATTAATCTCCATGAAATTCAATCCCATCATCATAAATTCTTCCGGTTCGAAATTTTCCATGACTAATAAAGATTGCGAGGTTTTTAACCTTACCTTTCCCCAACAGAGAATGTGTTTAGCTAAAAGTACTTGGTAACTTCGCTCAATAAACCTTCAATATATTTAAATAGAGTGTTGCTACAGGGACCCCAAAAATAAGAGATTCTGAGTGGGACATGTGAGATGTCGTCTCCCTGTCCCGTGATGCACTGTTCATAAACAGTGCATCACGGGACAGGGAGGTGCATAAACAGTGCATCACGGGACATGGAGACGACGCATCATATGTCCCACTCAGGGTTCCCTATTTAATAGTAAAGAACATTCTTGCAAGTAATTATCAATCAGTAATAGTAAGTTTAAAATACATAAACGGTATTTATATCTTCAAAATGCATAAATATATACTTCATGATTATAAAAATTTATCCCACGTTATTTTATCAAAATATCCCGCTTCACAAAATTGTTCCTAGTTATCCCACTAAAATATCCCACTAGCAAAATATTATTCCACTTTAACAATTATCCCATTTTGCATGAAAATGTCCCAATTGACTAACACCCCCTTGGGGAACTTTACCTATCTACAAATTTTACTCACGTTTACATGTCTCGTGCGTTGGGGCAATTTTTTCTTCAAAGTGACGGGCAAAGTGGATTATAGACAGAGACATGGGGGCCCATATGGCATCACAAAGCGGCTAGATTTCTCGAGCAAAATCCGGACTCCTTGTCAAGAAGATTCTGATTAATTAATCTCCATGAAATTCAATCCCATCATCATAAATTCTTCCGGTTCGAAATTTTCCATGACTAATAAAGATTGCGAGGTTTTTAACCTTACCTTTCCCCAACAGAGAATGTGTTTAGCTAAAAGTACTTGGTAACTTCGCTCAATAAACCTTCAATATATTTAAATAGAGTGTTGCTACAGGGACCCCAAAAATAAGAGATTCTGAGTGGGACATGTGAGATGTCGTCTCCCTGTCCCGTGATGCACTGTTCATAAACAGTGCATCACGGGACAGGGAGGTGCATAAACAGTGCATCACGGGACATGGAGACGACGCATCATATGTCCCACTCAGGGTTCCCTATTTAATAGTAAAGAACATTCTTGCAAGTAATTATCAATCAGTAATAGTAAGTTTAAAATACATAAATAGTATTTATATCTTCAAAATACATAAATATATATTTCATGATTATAAAAATTTATCCCATGTTATTTTATCAAAATATTCCGCTTCACAAAATTATTCCTATTTATCCCACTAAAATATCCCACCAGTGAAAAATTATTCTAATTTAACAATTATCCTATTTTGCATGAAAATGTCTCAATTGACTAACATTCCCATGGAACTTTACCTATCTTAAAATAAACGACCCTGAGTGGGACATGTGAGGTGTCACCTCCCTATCCCGTGATGCACTGTTTATGAATAGTGCATCACGAGATAAGGAAGCGACACCTCACCTGTCCCACTCAGATCCCCTAGTTTGAGATTCCTGATGCATTTTTCATTTAAATAATAGGTTGCAGATGACTGAAAACAAGATGCAAGATTTGACGACATCATTAACCATTCTCTAGAAGGCATGCGTCCAAGTCCAACGTGGTCAGGACTTCATCCATTTAGACTTTATATATTTATTTATTTAGTTGTCACATCAAGCGCTGTTTGGTTGGTTTTCTAAAACTGTTGGAGATCAATATCCATCCATAACAGTAACAGTAATTTTTATGTTTGTTTCGCCTTAAGACAAAGGATGGAAAATAACTTTCATCGCAATCTATTGTTTGGTTGGATAAAAAAAAGAACCCCTCTTTAAAGCCACTCGTCACAATGTGCCCAGATGTTCTTATTATTTTAATGCAAAATAATAGGCTTCCAATCCATTTTAGACCTAAATCTCTTAATTGGGTTTCACTGTTTCCATTTTAGACCTAAATCCATTTTATTGAGCTATATATTTTTTTCCATTCTGATCATGTCAAAACATGGAAACCCGTTTCTAGGTGTTTTTCATGCAAACCAAACAGCCTGAGGTGATTTTAATCGAATTAAGTCACACGTTTGATATTATCTAACATAAAAAAAAAGCATTAAAAATCCATATGGAAAAACTAATAAGTGAATTGAATTTAGTACTAGCTATTTTGAGCAAGATAAGTTTTAAACGGAAATTAGGAAATAATTTTAACTCAAAAACTATAGCTATTTAGGTATTGGTCTCAAATCCTATTTTAAACTCATCTCTTTTTATTAGCATATTCAGTTTGGAACTATACTTACATATTAGTAGCATCTATTTTAAACTCATCTTTACGAAAAACTAACTTTTATAGATAACTAATTTTAACTCAAAAACTATAACTACCAAGCCTTACTCTCAACTCATCTTTTAAGCTCGTAACTCTTTTTTAGCATGTCGAATGTGAAACTATACTCATATAATTATTTAGCAAAATAGTCCGTTTTTGCTAATTATTTAGCAAAATAGACCGTTTTGCTAAATAATTAGCAAAATAGACATTTTTTGGCCAACATGCCAAAAAGAGGTCTATTTTGCAAAACAGCTTAGAAAACATACGGGACTAGTAGTCCCGTATGTCTTAATCACGAATTAGTGAACTCAAAAAATTTTACAAAACATTGAGAAGAACTCAGAAAACATACGGGACTACTAGTCCCGTATGTTTTCTGAGTCACTAATCAGTGATTAAGTTGGCTCTAAACATACGGGACTAGTAGTCCCGTATGTTTTTTGAGTCTTGTTTTTCAAAATCGACCACTTTTTTTCAAAAGAGGCCTATTTTACTAATTATTTAGCAAAACGGTCTATTTTGCTAAATAATTAGCAAAAACGGACTATTTTGCAAATTTTCCCTAAATAACTTCAACAATGACACAAGGCTTTCTCATTACTCGACAATGAGTCAAGTCCTAGACTCATACTGACGTTATTTTTGTGCAAATTATAAAGAGCATTAATTAGAGCCTTTCTTAACACTTTTCTACCCTCTCCAGTATAAATGTGACATGTTACTTCATCATGAAACAAATTGTGAACCCCACAAGCAATCAAATCATATATAAAACGATCCGCATATTTCTTTTCCTAGCTAGCACTCAACGAAAGTTCATCACGTCGAATAAATTCCACCAACGATCGAGCTGAGGAGGCGCCCAAAGTCTTAAAGCGCGTATTTTTATCAAACTTGGCCTCTCCTCCTCCATTCTTTCATCCTTTTTCTTAACTCGTCTCGTTTCCGTGTCCGCTCCATTCTCCGCTCTCTTCCTCTATATATATATAGTCATATATCTTCATCAATATTATTCTTAATTATAATCCTGCTGTCTTTTTCTCGTCTCTCTGGTTCAACTCCAAGACAAGCCTTTTTGGTTCTGAGATGAGTGATCCCAAGTACGCCTACCCTTACCCTGCTCAAGGTAAGTTTATATTCATTTCAAATTTTGTTTTTTTTGGGATAAATTTCACAAAAAACACCCCTTAACTTTGCCGGTTACACGAACCCGCCATGAACGGTCTAAAAGTTCCACCTGAACTTTGGAGGGGGATTTTTAGTGAGGGTTCTTTTTTATAGTTTTACTGAGAGAGTAGGTTATTTTAACTTTTCGCAGGTTCTGGGGGGGTTTTGTGGAACTCTTCAAAGTTTAGTTTAGAGGGTTTCTCTAATTTTCAAAGTTTAGGAGAGTTTTGTGAAATTTACCATTTCGTTTTGTAAACTTTTTGTGCATATTTTTTCATTATTTTTTGCTGAATCTTAAGGTTACTACCAAGGACCACCGGTGATGGCACCACCTCAGTATCCTCAGTATGCAGCAGCTCCGCCTCCAAGGAGAGATACTGGTTTCCTTGAAGGATGGTAAGATTAATATTTTTCTTAGTATCTAATAATATTTAATTCAATTATCATAATTAATTTTTTTCCCCCATTTAAACTGATTTTTTTTGGGTACGTTTTTTTTTTTTGCTTGCAGTCTTGCTGCGCTCTGCTGTTGCTTCCTCGTCGATGAGTGCTGCTGTGATCCGTCAGTTTTATGCATTTGGTGATGAAATCTGATAAGCTTTGCTTGATTTCTGGCTAAATATTAATCATGTGCTACTTGTATTAAAAGTGTGTTGTTGTGTGTAATTATTGCCTTGCCTTGCAAATTTGATGATAAGATTCTCTCTGAGGACTGTTGTATTTTGCTCAGCTTCCTAATGGGATTTTGATTTTTTTTTTAATTTGATAAATTTGATGTTGGTATTCTTATCTTTGCTTGGATTTTGATTTGGAATATTCTCCCTAAAGAAATGTTGAATGCCTTAACTTGCACGAATCTGATGCTAAACTTCCCCATGAAGACAAAAAAGTAGGAAGACTTAATAACTAATAACTATAGCTTTTGGCCCCAAATGTGTGGTCCTTTAGATTTGAACGTGGATTGCTCCAAAAATTGTGTTAAGGATCTCTTTCATTGCACCAAAACATCAAAGTTATGGCAAGACCTAGTGTTAAAATTTAATATTTTGACCACTAGATGATAGCAGCAACCGAAATAGAAATTACAATATTAAGAACAACCCCTAAATATTATCTGCAATATAAACTATAAATTTGGGATTCTAGATTAAAAAGAAACAAAAAGAACTTCATGGAGTAACACAACATGATATAGTGGAAGGTTTAGAATACTGGTCAATTTGGAAAGAATCCAATGACTAAAGGGTTTTCTCCTATGAACCACCTTAAAAATAGGGTAATTATACGGAAGCCACCTTTTATTTTTAATTTATATGTAAACCACATTGGAAGTTAAATTTTGTTGCAATTAATGACCTCACAGTAAAATTTTAATTAAAAATCCAAAAATATGCTTAGGAAATTAAATTTCAAGTCACGTGAGTTGTATCCTAGCAAGACTTAAACACTAAAAAAATTAGTCTTATGCTTTGAATGTGAGTTTTTTAACGGCATTTTGGATTTTCAGTAAAAAAATTTAACAAGGAAGTGTTTGATTGCAACAAAAACTAACTTTAAAGGTGGTTTATGTATAAATTAAAAATGAAAGGTGGTTTCCGTATAATTACTCTATTTTGAATGTGGTTTCTAGAAAGAAAAAAACCCGATGACTAAACTTCGGTATAATTAACTAAACCGGAATACAAATAAAATAAAATTTTCCATGTCACTCTAGTTTTTTAGCAAGTGTGTTGTGGTTGTTATAATTGCCTTGCAAATTTGATGATGAATTTTCAGTGAGGACTACTTATCTGTTGTATTTTGCTCAGGTTCCTACTGGGATCTTGATTTTTTTTTTTTTTTTGATGTTGATATTCCTATCTTTGCTTGGATTTTGTCATGAAATTTTCTCCCTGAAGAAATGATGAATGCCTGAACTCGCAGGAATCTGATGCTAAAATTCCTCAGGAAGAAAAGATGTATGAAGACTTTCTAATTTTGTCTTGCCTGCTTCTGATAACATTAGTGTCATACCCTAGCTATTAAAAAAATCCAAGGAATGAATCCAAATTTTGCAATCTCTTAGTTTTTTGGTTCAAGTCTCACCTTGGAAAAGCTTTCTTCTTTATTATGCGCTTTAATTTTTCCCCCTCAAATGTGTGGTCGTTTAGATTTGAACATGGATTGCTTCAAAACCATGTCAAGAATCTCTTTCACTGCACCAAAACTTCAAAGTTAATTATGGGGAGACTTATCGTAAAAATTTTATGTTCTAACCACTACATGATAGCAGCAACCAAAATAAAAATTGCAATATTAACAATAACACCTAAATATGATCTGCAATATAAACCATAAATTTGGGATTCCAGATAAAAAAACAAAAAGAACTTCATAGAGTAACACAGCATGAAATATTGATACTGATCAATTTGGAAAGAATCCAATGACTAAATTTCTGTGTGTCATATAAACAGGTTCCTAATATGTTTGTTGGAAAAAGAAATACCTTTAGCTACATTAGCATGTAGAAACTAACTAAGCTGGAATACAAAGAAAATAAATGCAATTTTCTTTTTAAATGTCACTCTAGTTTTATGATCAGAGGCTCATACTAGAAGTATAAGGGAAGTAATTACCTTTTGCATTAAATAACATTATAACCAAACTGGTTACCTCCAGAGTCAATATTAAGAATTCTCATGAGTTTATGCAGTTAGATCAGTTGTAAATACTTTGCTTGCTTTCAGAAAATTCGTAAATCAGGTCTTGACAATATTCAGAACCTGCAAGCTTTGTCTTTCTTTTATTGAAAATAATATAGGTTACGTGCGTTGCACACAGTCATTTTTGTTGATCTTTTATTGCGAAATTTTTGTTGTTTTCATAGATAGAAGAGTTAGTTATTAAGATGTTGTAGATAATTAGTGAAAATTTAGTGATATTGATTGAGTTGATGGATAGTGGGGCTTAATGGGTAATTGATAAGAAGTTATGAAGAAGTAACTCAAATTAGTAAATAGGATGCCATTCTAATAATTTTTTCTTCTAAAATTCATACTTATATTCTAATAAAATTGTGGAATTCCTTTTTCATATCAAAACTCATTTCAATCCCACATTGCTCAAAATCTAAATTCCATCTGCACACACGTGAACCCCTTCTTCATCCTCCCGGCTTTCGACGAGCCTCGCTACCATATACTTCATCGGGAACCTCTCCTGGCCAGCTCCATCACTCGGTTAAAAGATGAACTTGATTGTTGTGGGTTTGTGAATCGTATAGGGTTGGCTCCTTTCTTCAAGATTTTTGTTGTTATTTATAGTGATTTGGTGGTAGAGGAATAGTTATGACGTTTTATTGAAATAAAGAAACAAAGATTTATGAATTTCTAAGGATCAAATTAGAAGCGTACCAACAGTATTCTATGTACAAAAGACTCCTTTCCTCTCAGCCTGTCGTAAGCAGCTCTTTGAAATCTTGCTTAAGATTCTCACCAGCAAAAGAAGACTTCATTTCCTTGCTACTCATAGTCAGTAAGCAAATTGCTCTTTTCACTAATTTGCCTGAAATTGAATTCGTAACCCTTAGACAATGTAATTCATCCAAGAGAATGCCGATAGCAATCTACTTCCAGCAGTATGCTCCTTTCTCCGAGCATTCTCACAACCTTCAGAGTTTGATAAGTTCTGCATTATTAGCTTCAATCATTCTTGATAGTTTGAATTATACAGCATTAGCTTCCATTAGTTAATTCCCTTTCTCGGTTTTTTAGTCAAAAACTTAGCTCCATCTATGACAGTCATCATTAATACTTCATACTGAATGACTTCCTACTCGGAAAGACATGCACCTCAAAAATCCCTAACATATTTCGTATATTAGCATATTTTTGATGCAGGGTACCCCCCGCAACAAACTCATGAACCTCACCGTTCACTTCAATCGAACTACAACCAGGAGTCTTCTTCAATCCTACCCCTCTCATCTCCTTCCTCATTCTAATCACCCCACTCCAGTTGCAATCATCAGCATACAGATTGGACATCATAACCCTAGCCCAATGATCCCTTGGATCCAATTCCACCAATTTTGCAGCCGCAATCTCCCCAATTGTTGAATTATTATGAACCTTGCACCCATTTAGTAACGATCCCCAAACCACGCCATTTGGCTTCATAGGCATCTCTTTAATAACCAAGCATGCCTCTTTTAAAAGACCCACTCGGCCTAGAAGATCAACCATACATCCATAGTGTTCGATTTTTGGTGAAATGCCATATAAATCTTTCATAGAGCGAAAATAATGGTACCCTTGATCAAATAGACCACCATGAGCACAAGCACCAAGGACTCCAACCAAGGTAACTTCATCGGGACGAATACCCATTTCTTGCATTTGTGAAAACTTTCCAAGAGCATCATTAGCACGCCCATGCATCGCAAGTCCACATATGATTGAGGTCCAGGAGTACAAATCTCTCCTTAACGGGATCTTCTCGAATACTTGGAGAGCTTTCTCAATGCTCCCACACTTAGAGTACATGTCAACAAGGCAATGATCTAAATTCCCATTCAAATTCATGCCATTCCTCTCGATATACACATGGACCCATATGCCCGTATCCAAAGCACCCAACTCAGAACAAGCTGAAAGAACTATACGCATCGTAACTTCATTAGGCTTCATTTTCGATAACTTGATCTCATGAAACAGAGCTACGGCCTTTGCATACAACCCAGCTCGACAAAACCCCGAAATCATGGTATTCCAAGAAACCACATCCCTATCCATCATATCTCCAAACAATTCCTCCGCCTTTTCGAGAAAACCATGTTTAATGTACTGCTGAACAATCGCATTCCAAACAACAACATTTCTAACAGGAATTTCGTTGAACAGCCTGCGGGCAAGCGATAATTCACCATTATCCCCGTAAACTCCAATCAGTTCAGTACTTACAAATGGGTCAATCTCATATCCTCCTTTAATAACAAACCCATGAACCTCCATAGCTGTACTCAATCTCCCAAGCTTGCGGCAGGCGGAAAATGTGATGGCGAGAGCGACTGAATCGAGGGCGAAGCCAGAGTATACTGCAGACTGAATGAGGCGGAGAGACTCAGAGGGTTGGTTGGAGGTGGAGTAAGCACGAGCCATGGCGGTGATCGAGACGAGATTTTGTTGAGGAATTTCATCGAACAGGCGACAGCGTAGAGAGTGAAGAGGGCGGTGGAGACGAAGGGGTTGGAGTCGTGGCCGGATTTGATGACGTGGGCATGGATTTGGGTGGCGGCGGAGATGGTCGGAGATGGGTCGCCGCAGTTGGCGAGGGATTTGAGGAGTCGGACCAGGGAGCGGGCGTTGGTTTGGGAGATGGCGGGAAACATCGGAAAAACCCCTCGAACATTGGGCGATTGGAAGATGACGCACCCCTCATTTTCACGACCTCCTTAATTTAATTTGGCCCTGTTTGTTTGCCTAAAAAAAATTGAAAATCAAAGAAATGGAAAACTATTAAACTAAAGAATTGGTTTGGGAGTGTTTGGTTTGCTAAAAAAAAGAAGGAAATCAAAGAAATGAGGATGAGTTGTCATCTTATTATAGGATGATGTGAGTGATTTTTTTAAGAAAACTTGTTTTGATGGTATTTGGTTGGCGAAAAAAATAATGAAATAAATTATAAGAAACCTATTTCTTGTAATAGGTTGTTTTCTTTTGCTTGGTTATTTCTTAAAAATAAGAAAATATATGATATGAGATGAGTTATCATTATATTATTGGATGATGTGACACACACTTAAGGAAATTGTTTTCCTAGCTTTTTGGGAGGAAAACAAAGAAATGGAATGTTAATGAGATGAGATGAGTTGCCACAATCTTATTGGATGATGTGAGTAATTTTTAAATATGAGATGAGATGAGTTGAGTGATGTTGTGGATGAAAATAATTTTTTATTAGATGTGGTGGATGTGATGGATGAGTTGTTAGATGAAAATAATATTTTATTAGATGTGATTGATGAGTTGTTGGATAAAAATAATATTTTATTAGATGTTGTGGGTGAGTTTTAAGGATGGAAATGTGTGAAATTGTACTTTTTGAGTTTTCTTGGTTTGCATTTCTATTTTTTGGTTTTTTAGGAAATAACCAAACAGCCCCGGTTATCAGAAAATCTCCTTTTAAATTTAAGATTTTATCAAAAAGACCCTTCTAATAGAGTAAATATCAAACAAACAGCGATTTTCACAAGGGCTGATAACCTGGTAGGATTTATGAGGGGGTGTACGTTTCTCTGAAGGAAATCTTATTTCTTTGTAAATTATAAGCAGGAGCTCGGTGAGAAAAATTCTAGGGGTTTATGTGAAAACCCCCCAAAGTATAAGGGCTTTTTGTAAAATTAACCATTTTGTAAAACTGGGTCCTCAACTCATAGAGTTTGTTTAACTATCCATAATTATAAACTAGTCCCTCAAATCTCATTATTTGCTTATTACACTCTCAAATCTATATGCCTTTTTCCACGTCCTTGAAATTTAAATATGTGAACATTGGGGGGAACATAAATGTTCCGTCATATTTAACAAAATGAGAGGGTTTACCACCTTCATTTAAACGCACCAACCTTTTCTTAGCGAGTTTAAATTTACAACCCGCTTATCTTGAAATCTGCACCCAAAAACTTCTACTGCAACAGGTCAATGTGACCTCCGAAACCATTTCATAGATCTTTCCATGGTAAGATTCCATCTAAACCCTATACCAGATGGCATATGTAGGTAATTGCCGACGTTTCATTAAGGGCGAACCTGATGCATGGTTAGAGAAAATATTAAAAATTTAAACTAGGGACGAAATTGTAATAGAACTATAGGCTTGAGGGGCTAATAGGTAAATACTAAGATATGAGGAACTAATTTTGCAATTGTGGATGATGTCGCAAATTTAATAACTGAAGAGTCACATACTGATATTAATGTTACAAATTTAATAATTGAAGAACTTATGAAAGTAAAAATTTCAGAAAGAATATTTTATCTTTCACTATATAATGCAAGTACTAATAATGTAGCTGTTGATTTTATCAAAATATCTCTATCATTGCCATGTCATGGTAATCTTTTTCATATTAGATGTATCTATCATATTTTAAATTTAATTGTACAAAGTGCATTTACTGAAATTAAACACATGATAGAAAATGTTAGGACGATAACTTATATGCATAATGCTTCTGAACAAAGAATTAAAAGATGAAAAAAATTCTGTAAAAGAAAAAATGTAAAGCTCAGACTAATTCCAAAAGATGTTGACCATAGGTGGAATTCCACTTATGCAATGTTAAGTGTAGCAATAGAATATAAAGAAATTATAAATGATTTTATTGCTTATTATTCTTTTAGTTCTTGCTCTGGTAACACCTATGGAATAACTGAAGATGAATGGACAATTATAAGTAATTTAAAAGAGATGTTACAAGTTTTTTATGATGCTACAATGTTATTATCTGGTTGTTATATCCAACCATTACTTTAGCTGCTTTACAAATTTTAAATATTCAAAAAATATGGTAAATATCGTATGGATGAAACTTTTGGAGATATAATTTTTCAAATGAAAAGCAAATCTAATAAGTATTTTAGGCTTATTCCTATAATTTTTGGTTTGGGGGTTCTTATCGATCCGTGTTTGAAGGATATTGGCATTCGAAATTTGTTAAATTCATTGTATGGTAATCAAGTTATAAACTTTGATGATGGATCCACTCTTACTGCTACTTCTCATAATAATGCTATTAGAAATTATTTTCAAACCTTATGTGATGAGTATGCAACTAAATATGGTGTAGCTGCACAGCAGTCTATAGCTTCGGCTTCTTCGAGCTCAAGTCGAGGTAAAAGTATAAGTTTTGATAGGTATGCAATGGTTGCTGAGTTAACTGGTGGATCTGCACTTGGATCATCATTAGAGGTTTCTGAAATAGATGAATATTTATCTGCTTCTTTAGTTAAATGTCAAAATAATAATTTAGATATTTTGCAATGGTGGAGAGTATATGAATCAGTTTCATATCCTATACTTTCTATCATGGTTCGTGACTTACTAATAGCGCAGGTTTTGACGGTAGCTTCGGAATCTACCTTTAGCGTAACAGGACGTTTGATCGACGACCATAGAACATCGTTAGATCCGTATAATGTACAGACAATGATGTGCTTACAAGATTGGTGGAGGTACGAGAAGAGAACGCAAGACATCGATCAGTTGGCTAGAATTGAAGATAAATTTGAAGAGTTTGGACTAGCAGATAGATATAAAGTTTAAACAATATTCATCAAATTGTAATTTTTATTTCTTAGCTGAAAATTTGTAATGAAGTATTTTGGAAACAGTTACAAATGATAGTGATATAGGTAAGTAAGTGTCAACCTAGTTGGGATGTACTCATCTATTGTGATGCGACGAATTCCGAAATAAATTTATACTGTAAATAATTTATTAACTATTAATAAAAAATTATTTTTATCATTTTTTATTTTAATAATTTTTTGCATTTGTAATTTATGTAATTTCAAGTGATTAATAATATTATTGTTTTTTATTAAAATTTTGTATAATTTTTTTATGTATAATTAAAAATTTAAAGAGATTAAAAAATAAAAAAAAAGGGGCCGGCCCGGAGCCCGACCCGCTCAGGCACGGGCTCGGCCCGGGCCGGCCCGGCCCGGATGGACAGCCCTATCCGTTGATTGCTTTATGATCAGTTTGATCTGTTCGCGTTGCTCTGGTACTGGATTTATATCTTCTTGTGAAATCAAGAACACACCAATCTGGCATCATAGCAGGTTATACATTATGTTCTGCGGTTTGTTTTAACAGTCAATATTTTTTTTAATATGGTTTAAGCTGTGAACATATTCTCTACAAATATATATATAGAGTAAAAAGCATTGCTTCAGGGTTCAGCTTTTCATTCTGTAATCCATTCTATTGAGTCAAATTGGATGAAGCGGTGCAGGGAGGGGAAAGAGGGGGAGAGAAGGTGGTGGTTAGGAGGACAACAACGAAGACCATCAATGTATGAGAAAATGAATGCTGATATAAAGTCCACCCCACCCCCAAAAAAAAAACAAAAAAAAAAGAGCTCAGTTTACCACCCCTACATCTGATTGTCTGTTCCAATTTCCATGGTACATGCAGGTATCCCATAGCGAACAAATTGACCCGTGCAACCCCAGGATTAGAAATGAGCAATGACGCAACCGATGGAGAGGTAATTGTTAGTTTGGGTGTAGACCAAACTCACCTCCGTCCGGCGAGGAGCTCCGACGAGCTCGGAGATGACGCAGGCGAAGTCGACAGGAGAACCCCCCCAGGCGAACGCCGTTCCGACCTTGGCGTTTTGGCGGTTCGAACTCTGCGTCACAGGACCCCCGAACTCTGCGTTCGCCTCCCCCTTTTCAGCTCTGCGTTCGAGCGATGGCGAGCTCTGCGTTTGGATGGCGAGCTCTGCGTTTTTGGGGGGGGTCCGAACTCTGCGTTCGAACCTGACCTTTGCGTCAGGTTTAGCCGCTGGCGACAGGCTGTCGCCAGCTCTCCTCTCCGCCTATAAAAGAAAACCCAGGCTAGGGTTTTGAAGTTGCTGAGCTTCCCCCCCCCCTTCCTCCGATTTCTTCTTCTCTAGGCGGCGGCTGCCCTAAATCGCAGAGGCGATTTTTCTCCAGCTCTCAAAGGGGAATTTTGAGGGGAGATTAAAAAGAGAGATTAAGAAGAGAGAGAGGAATTAAAGTGGAGTTTATATTGTGGGGTATTTATTCTCAAGTGAGAATTGAAAGGGTTCATACCCTTTGATTATTAACACTGTAGCTACAGTGTTTATTTGAGAAATCTCAGTTTTGAGATCTGCTCCTAAATTATAATTTCTTGTTTGATTAATAAGAAATTATCTGTGTGGCTCCCGAGGACGTAGGCAGTTACCGAACCTCGTTAAAACTTGTGTACTGTTCTCTATTCTGCGTTTCCGTTGCATTAGGGATTTCGGCGTTAAATTCCCAACAACTGGTATCAGAGCGTGAAACGATCTAGAACAAGTCAGATTCAAGTGGGAGCAATGGCCGCAGATGAAGGAAAGGTGAGAATAGAGAAGTTTGATGGATCAGATTTCGGATTCTGGAAAATACAGATAGAAGATTATCTGTATCAGAAAAATCTGTATCAACCTCTCTCGGGGAAGAAGCCGGAGGGTATGAAGGAAGAAGATTGAAATCTTCTGGACAGAAAAGCCCTCGGGGTTATTCGTTTGACGTTAACCCGCAATGTTGCTTTTAACATTGCAAAGGAGAAGACCACGGCGGGTCTTATGGCAGCACTCTCAAATATGTATGAGAAGCCATCAGCCTCAAATAAAGTCCATTTGATGAGGCGGTTGTTTAATCTGCGAATGGCGGAAGGTGCATCGGTAGCACATCATCTCAATGAACTCAATACAGTCACGACCCAATTGAGTTCAGTTGATATTGAGTTTGATGAGGAAGTTCGAGCGTTGATCCTTTTGTCTTCCCTACCAGAGAGTTGGAACGCTACAGTCACGGCAGTGAGTAGCTCGTCGGGAAAGAAAAAGTTGAAGTTTGACGACGTTCGTGATCTGGTTCTCAGTGAGGAGATCCGACGGAGAGAGTCGAGTGAAGCTACAACCTCTTCAGTATTGCATACAGAGTCAAGAGGTAGAAGTTCAACCAGAGGAAATGGATCAGATGATAGGAGATCCAAATCCAAAAATCCCAACAGTTCGAAGGCTATCGAGTGTTAGAAGTGCGGGAAGACCGGGCACTACAAGAATCAGTGCAGGAGTGCACGGGAGGAGTGGGAGGTAAATGCAGATGTGAACGTTGCCTCCACCTCAGGAGGAGATGATGCGCTGATATGCTCTTTGGAGAGCAAGGAGGAGTCTTGGGTGTTGGACTCGGGAGCATCATTCCATGCTACTTCTCAGAAAGAATTCCTCGAGAAGTATATCCCCGGAAACCTTGGAAATGTATATCTTGGTGACGATCAAGCATGTGCCATTATTGGCAAAGGTGTAGTGAAGATTAAGCTGAATGGGTCAGTATGGGAGCTGAAGGATGTCAGGTATATTCCCGACCTGAAGAGGAACTTAATCTCAGTAAGCCAGCTGGCTAGTGAAGGCTACACGATGACTTTCCATGGAGATGACTGGAGGATTTCGAAGGGCGCAATGATGATTGCCAGAGGCAGGAAGACTGGTACCCTGTATATGACAGCAGGTGCACGTTGTTCGATCTCAGTTGCAGCAGGCAATGAGACTTCAAAGCTGTGGCACCAGAGACTCGGTCATATGAGTGAAAAGGGGATGAAGGTTATGCACACAAAGAGAAAACTCCCAGGTTTACAATCAGTAGAGATTGATGTGTGTGAAGAATGCATACTTGGAAAGCAGAACAGAGTTAGCTTTCAGGCAAGTAGCAGACCCCCCAGGAAGCAGAAGCTAGAGCTTATTCACTCGGATGTTTGGGGACCAACAACCACCGCGTCGATTGGTGGGAAACACTACTTCGTGACTTTTATTGATGATCACTCTCGGAAAGTATGAAATGGAAGAGCTCAGCAAATAAGTTGGGTGAGGCAATAACAAAAGTAGTTAATATTCAGGACAAATATACATTATGTGATGCACTAAAGCGTACCTCAGGAGCGACATAATTGGGAGTCCCACATGTCGTGTGAAGCAAACCGTCTTCCTGCAAGGAAAAGGTTAAAATGTTATATCTCCAGAAATGCCTCTTTTCCATCCTCTAAGTATTAAGGCTTTGGTTTAAAAAATGACCATATTTATCAAAGAGAAGTATGAGGAAAATTCACCGAACATCCCTTATTAAATGAAAGCAAATCAAAATATTAGCCATTTGCAAGCATTAGTAAAAAAATGAATTTGACTTGCAATCTATAAATTTGTATTTGAATATACAAATTCATCTGACTTACTCGAATTTGCTGTGGTAACGCACTTAAACCAAAATCCGAGATTTTAAGAACCCCACTAGAGTCCAACAGTAGGTTTTCCGGCTGTTGAGATACAAAAGAGTTATACACACAAACAAGTTGAATTTGTAACAAAGTATTATCCAAAAATAACAAAAAGCACAAAAAGAGTCTGTTCCCGTGCCTTTAAGTCCCTGTGAAATACACCTCTGCTATGACAAAAATCCACGGCATTAATTAACTGCTGAAAATATTTTCTTGCATCATCCTCCTTCAACCGTCCTTGACTAGCCTAAGGAACAACAATCAAAGAACTAGTTAGCAAACTCGTAAATGAACACTGGCATATAGTAAATATTTAAGTGCAAATAGATAGATAAAAATCTTACAATCTTGTCAAAGAGTTCTCCACCCGTAACAAGTTCCAGAACAATGTATATCTTTGTCTTGCTGGCCATCACCTACACAACGACAATCACTTGAGCTAAGGAGGTTGTCAATGACGCCAACCAAAAAAAAAATTTGGGTGCTCATAGTAATTGTAACACAAGAGAGCTTGATCTATAGTAACAATTCAACACACAAAAAAGAAAGGATGTATTTTAGCAGGAATCATCAGAGTAGAAGTCCAATAATCAATAACGAAGCTAAGGAACTGATTTACGAACGAGCCACATAATTAAGAAATTGGAATTTATAGAAATATAGTGATACCGTAATGAAGCGAGATGATGTCTACAGACATATTACAAATCTCTATCTTACCTCATGCATTCTTGTTATGTATGGGTGCCTGATAAGTTTCATGGTAGTGATTTCTGTTAGTTTGGGTGTAGACCAAACTCACCTCCGTCCGGCGAGGAGCTCCGACGAGCTCGGAGATGACGCAGGCGAAGTCGACAGGAGAACCCCCCCAGGCGAACGCCGTTCCGACCTTGGCGTTTTGGCGGTTCGAACTCTGCGTCACAGGACCCCTGAACTCTGCGTTCGCCTCCCCCTTTTCAGCTCTGCGTTCGAGCGATGGCGAGCTCTGCGTTTGGATGGCGAGCTCTGCGTTTTTGGGGGGGGGGGTCCGAACTCTGGAAGCTGGCGTCGAAGCGACCTCTGCGTTCGCTCGAGTTTGGCGTCGAAGCGAACGCTGGCGACAGGCTGTCGCCAGCTCCTCCTCCTCATCCGCCTATAAAAGAAACCACATCCCTAGGGTTTCGGCTGCTGAGCTTCCCCCCCTTTCCTCCGATTCTTTCTCTCTGGCGGCGGCGGCGAACTGCCCTAAAACGCAGCAGCGTTTTCCCCAAATCGCAGTAGCGATTTCGATTTTTCTCCAGCTCTCAAAGGGGAATTTTGAGGGGAGATTAAAAAGAGAGATTAAGAAGAGAGAGAGAGGAATTAAAGTGGGGTTTATATTGTGGGGTATTTATTCTCAAGTGAGAATTGAAAGGGTTCATACCCTTTGATTATTAACACTGTAGCTACAGTGTTTATTTGAGAAATCTCAGTTTTGAGATCTGCTCCTAAATTGTAATTTCTTGTTTGATTAATAAGAAATTATCTGTGTGGCTCCCGAGGACGTAGGCAGTTGCCGAACCTCGTTAAAACTTGTGTACTGTTCTCTATTCTGCGTTTCCGTTGCATTAGGGATTTCGGCGTTAAATTCCCAACAGTAATTGCTGGAGATGTGTAACTGAGAGAGCAATGAACGCTTGTTTTTGGATTTTAAGTACAGGAGTGAGCTAAGGAGGTTGTATGGTTAATAAAATGCAGCAGATAGATAAAACGTGCTGAAGGTCGATCGTCTTGGTGATATTGTTTCTTGTAAGATTGGAAATTGTTCTGAAAGCCATTATAAAAGAGTATTGAGTTTCGAGTGATTAGCGTGCCTAATGTTGTTTCTACACAATGGCAGAGAGTTTTTGAATTTTCTTTTCGGTTCGGCAAGCTGAAAACTAAGAGAAAGAGGGAGACGTTTTCCTCTGTGTCTGTGCTTCTGACGGTTGGCATCAGAATTTCCTCGCGCGCGTCTATATACTTGATACACCATCGTATATGTTCTAAAGACTTGTCCATCCTGGAATTACTTGCAACCTTGTAGCGTTGACAAGCATCGCGATGTACGTTCATGGTTTGCTGTCACTACTGTATGGTCAGTGGACAGTTTGCACGATCATCGCGCTTTTTTTGAATACGTTGATAATACTGAAATGTACTTCTTCTGCTAATCGCTCTTGTGACCAATTTGTTGTCATCGTCTTGCTCTGGTGCTGGACTTATTTTGTTGTTGGAAAATCAAGAAAAATGCCTAAATGTTTACCAATGGAGCGCTTGGGATCACGAACCTTTCTTCATTTCTCTCCATGCATCCTCCACATAATCTAAATGTTTACCAACGAAGTCTTTTATGCGGTAGCCCATGAGATCGTCATTCAACGAAAAAAGCAATTAAAAATGAAAAACGAATTAACATCGCATTCACTTCTTGAAGCGAACATCGAACACAAATCATTGATCACAAAATTGAGTCTCAAGACATACAAAGTTTACGACATCATCCATCTCCCACTAGTATCTCTCATCATTTTTTTTTTCTCTCTACAAAGCCACACGAAAACATAAAAACCCCAAATTGAGTTTTAGTCATATATAATTAGTGGGAAAAAATAATAATAAACTAGAAGAAGAAAGACCTCCTGGATGGAGCTCTGCCCACAGCTCTCAAAAGGTTGGCGAGCTCCAACACCTTGGCCACCTTCACCCCCCTCTTCGCCTCCGCCGACGCCCTCTTCTCCTCTGCCTTCCGTCGTGCTTTCGCCGCGTCATTCTGCATCTTCTCCGTCGCCCTCGCCCTCTTCTCCTCCAACTTCCTCTATGAAACAGACACAGGGAGGAGTCCATGAATGCAAATTCTCTGATTAAAATTGAAGATTAACTTTCACAAACTAGCTACCAAAGGATGAACTAGCGAACGCAATACTCTCGCAAGTTTTCAAATTAGCAGAAGAATACCGTTTGCTATCAAAAACTACATGATAGCTTCGTGATGATATCTTAAATGTCGTGGTGGAGCCAGGATCTTGTGATTTTGCGTCGGTGGTGAATCATATAATTGATCAGGGATGTAATTTGAATCTACATTAATAACTTCAATATTCCCTCCTAAAAGTTGAACTAATCAAATGGGCATCATACCTCTACTTTCTTGAGCCGGGCGTTTGCCTTGTCAACTTTCTCACTCTCCCATCCGTTAACAACTACATCCTCTCTCTTAAACTTATTATTAATCTTGGCAATCTCTGCAGTCTGCCAAGCGACAATCTTTGCCTCAACCTCCTCCTTCTTCACTCTGTGCACAGAAACCTCCTCCTCTACAACGCTACCCCTATCATTACTAGAACCACCTGCCTCCCTCTGAGGCGGCGGTATCGGGTTCCTGTCTGGCACGATCGCCAGCGGATTCGTCTCCTCCTCCTCCTCCCTGATCCTGACCAGGTTTGGGTCGATGATGGGCTCCATGGCGGAGCCAGCGACAACCAGCGCGTCGAATTCTCTGCTTACTGATGAGAAGTAGTCAGCCTCGTTGCTGTTGCTTCTGACGGACGGGGTGAAGGATGGGCTGCGGCCACGGACGGAGGAGGAGGGCTGAGGGGAGTTCAGTGCATGGATTTCTCGGATTTCGTCGTCGGATTCGTCCAGGGGCGGTCGATGATTATGCGACATGGTAGCGCTGGGGATAGAGTGACACAAACATTAGGTTTGCCTACTTGTAGAGCTGATGATGGTGATGGTGTTATAGCGATAATAAAAGCAAATTGAGAGAGAGTAGTGTGGTATCCACAACTGATTTCTTAAATAAGGAGTGATGAGCGATGATGACAAGAGTATGGGGAGGGAGATGGCACTCACTCTCAGTGAGGGTTGGCTGCTAAAAAAAATTCTACTAATTAAGATTTTGTCATGGAGCAAAGATATTATGGATCATTTTTTTTATACCCCTATATCTGGATGGAGAAAAAGAGCCAATTGAATGTAGAAGATTTTACCAATTAAGCTAAAGCTACATTCATCAGCGAGAAGCAAGTAAAAGTTTCAAGGCGGATTGCAAATATAATGCTAGATATCTTTGTCACAGCTAGAGACAAAATCAGTTGTGGTTTGTCCAAAATCAGGAAGGAAAAAAAGAAAAGGAAAGGAGATGAGAATCTTAAGCTAACATGATGAGCTTGTTCAAGTAATTCACAGAGAACTTTATTGATTATCAAGTTATTCCCCCTTGTCTCATTGTCATGCTTAAATCTATCCGCTCCTATCCTCACAAGGATAAGAATAATTCTCAACGCATCACTTCATTCCCCTAGCTAGTAAAGGTTAGTAGAGGTTGATCACCATCAAAATGCTAAATTTTAACCTTCACCTTAAACAAAAAGCAAAAGCTAGTAGATTACCCCCTCTCTAATTTACTCAGTCGATACTCGTAGTGTCCTCTGATGTAACGCATGTCGAAATAAAGCACCTAAGAAATTTTTATTATTTTTTTCTCCATATAAAAAGGCTCCATAAAACATGTAGGCCAAAAATATACAGAGAGAAACATCTATCTCAGGGGACATGGGGATCTCTTTTAGGGATGAATCCAATGAGAATCAAACACTTGGGTGCTAATGGCTAGCGAGGAACTTTCCTTTTGATTTCACTTTATGCGATTTTTCTTTTTTTTTTATTTTAGTCCCATCTTGTATGGAAAAGACTAGAGACGCGTGTATGAAAATCTCTATTGAGCGGGGCCGCCTAATTAGTACTAAAAATATGGAGTTTTTGGAGAAAATGGAAGCAATGAAGATCCATAACAGACGAATGACAATTATTAATATATACCTCAACTTCAATCTTTTCTCCATCTCTATCTTTAATGTGTTCAAGACTTCAAGATGTAGGAACTCAAATCAATATACAAAGACCAAGGCTGCAACATTATGTGCAAACAACAAAAGTAAATCCTCACTCAAATGAGTTAATCATGAACTTCAAGGTTTAATACAACAAAGGTCCCACCCATAGATAAAATGGAAAAGTTAAGCACAGAAATGGTAAATAGGAGCAAAATATCATCATATATATCAGAAACTTGAGCAAATTCTACAAATTTTACCATACATTGATATGCCTCTTATTGTGCTCCTGAAATCGCATCATTCATCTCCTTCGCATTTGAAGGGAACAGCTCTACATATCGTCTCCCAAGCTTCATTCTATCCTTCTCCATTGCAGATTTTGAATCCTCAGAATTTGCAAACTCCACAAAAGCTTCACCTGATGCCCTCCCCTCAGAGTTGAGAACAATATGAACATCTGTCTCAGACAATCGATAGTCCTTGAAGAAATCCAGTAATATCATCTTTTCCTGCTGAATATGCAACCCTCTTCATGAACCAGACTCCATGTGCCTCCAACTTTCATCATTCGACTTTGCCCTTGAACCACTCCTCGTCGTTTCTAAAACTTCATTAGCAACAGCACTGTAATATTCTTGCCTCGTGCTCTTAAAAACTTCTATGTACCTCCTCCCCATGTTCCTCATATTTCTCTGAATTGCAAAATCAACTTGTAATGGATATGCTAGAACACAGAAAGCTTCCCCAGTGAACCGGACACCTTTGTGAACAAAAAGGATGTCCAAGATTTGTAGGCCATAAAAGAAGTCGAGGATATCAGATTTCACACATTCAAAAGGGAGGCCACGAACTCGAATGACTGGAAATGGAGGAGGTTGGCCTTTGTACACATATGGATTACGATACATCGCAGTTGAACCTGATGGAGACTCGAAGTGTGAGCCATGATCAAAAATCTGTTGCCGCTTTAATCTCATTTCATGCTCATCAGCACCGTCCATAAATTTTCTTCACTCGAACAAAAAGAAGTATAAAAGGGAAACATGTTAGTATTTAAGAAACAAACACACACACACGTACACGCAGAAGCAAGTCCATGGAAAATATGCTTGCTTCAGATGAATTAAAAAACAAATATTATGAAGAAGATACATGATACATTTGTGTTAAGCATAAAAATAAGAAAAATGATCCAATGGAGAAGTAATATTTTCAATTATGTCTTAGCTGCACAAGTTAAATAAAGCCTAAAGGGTTTAATTTTAGAAAACCCTAAACTAAGGGGGGTGCATCAAAAAACTCCCCTCAACTTCTTTAAGTTGAGCAAACCAACCTCGAGTTTGGATGTTGTAGATAATCCTCCTCAACTTTGAAATTTTGAGTTAAATACCCTGAACTTTTGTCACTCACCACCTAAGTGACACCGTTAAGTCTAACGTGTCACGTGGCAAGCACACAACTTAAAAAGGCTAAGATACCCCGGAGCCAGAAAAAATTAGCCTGGATTTTCTCAGGATGAGAAGCATCATAAATGGCTTGGGTGTGTTTTTACTAGTTTGGAAGTTTTTTAAAACTGAAATGGTCTTTTTCTCAAAATGGTATTTAAGTTATTTCACATTTTGAAGTAATGACTTTTAGGGGCTTTGCTAAGAAAAGTGTAAAGATCAGGGCGGTTCTGCGAGGCGCCCCATAGTTGAGGGGAGTTTCTAAAATTAATCCTTAAATAAACTTGCAATTCACTAAAAGCAGTGGAATTGTGAAAATTTCAACAAACATTACTGAGAAAACTTTGATACAGTAACTCTAATCACAAAGTAAACCAGGCTTAGGAGCAGTCAAGAGAATATAAATCCTACATTATCACTTAATACCACCTGATTTGCATTTTGAGAATGA